TCGTTTTGATCCAAAGCACCAGAATCATTTGAATAACCTAGCTCTTTTAATATAGTTTCATATTTTCGTATCAATAAATCTTTTTCGGCGATTTGAACTTGCTGAGTTTGTATGGTATGACGTGATATTCGTAAAAGTTGCTCATTCGAATCAATTTTGCTTTTTAAATTTCCATCTTATTATTTATAATAAAAGTCAAATTAAAATATAACATTAAAAATCTCAAGAATATTATTCGATTTTATTTCGTGTTACCTTCTCTTGATGAAAGCTCATTTTCCAATTCTTTCTTTTCACGTAATGCTTTTTCAGCTATAGCCTTGGCTTCCTTTGCTTCTTCAAGAGCTGCTTCAAGAGCTGCTTCAAGTTTTTCCTGTTCATCCAACTTACGTAAAACTTGAGAAACAATGATGTTAATTGAACTATTCAAATCTTGATCAGGTACTCGCCGATCACGAACAATTTGCGTAATTAAAGCGTTAATAAGTTGAAAATAACGTGTTCTTTTAAAATATATATATATATATATATTAATAATGATTTGTGTAAAATTGAGAGAAAAATCTTTAGCATATAAATTTAAATCAAATTATCGAATGATTTGATATACCTTGTCTCGCCTTCATCACGAATTAGTAGCATTTGTTGTAATGTGGACAAGAAGAAATCGTGTGCTTTTGTTCCTTCGACTGAACTAAGAATACACTGAAATACATCATAAGGACGAGTAAGGTGGAGTTAAAGAATTTATAAAGTACCAAAAAAATTTTGTGAAATAATAAATATTAATCGAAATATAGGACTATTAAAATCATATGATCTAGTATATCTAATATCTTAATTTGAATAGATAGCAAACGACCATATATGTCAAAAGAAATATAATAAAAGGATATGTCATATCTTGTAGAATTTGTTGATTGTAATACTCCGTAACCTCTTCAAAATCCAATTCACTATCGTTTTCAAATTTACTTATTTGACGATTAATCAACTCATAATTTAACGTTCTCATTTTCTAATAGAATAATATAAAGTTAATTAATATAATTAGATAAGATCCATTTACATTAATAAATTACAAGTGTAAATTACCTCAATAATACGTGATAAATTGCAATCGTGTAACTGATTTCTCAAGCGTACTCTGTCTTCTACGTCCTCACATACGCCAACAATTGAATTCACCAAGATCATATTGGAAAGCTAATACAAAATTTTGAAGTTTTTTTTTTTTTTTTCAGAAATCGTATATTTTTACAAGTGATTAAAATAATTACATATATTAATCAGTCACATTACCACATATTCCATTATTGAACCATCAATGCCGATACCGCCTTTTTTAAATTCCTCACTAGCGTTTACTAAACTACCATAACGACCACGACTGTTAATTGTATTTTCCAATATATTCATCCATGCATTAAATCTACCAGTTTCAGCTCGAAATTGCATGAGTTGATCGAACCCTTCCAACACCAAATTGTGGCCAGTAGGAATTTCACAATAGCAGAG